AGCTACGAAGATGACAATATTGAAGATAACTCATTAAGTCATACTTTTGTTAAACTTTTGATGACTATTGTAGATATACTGATATTTTGGGACCGTATTTTGAGACACGTTATCTCCGTCTATGGTTATGTAATTATCTTTTGGTAAATTTTATTAGCTGCTCTGTTTTATATAGTGCGTTGTTTTTATCCCAATTGTGGCATCTCCCGTCTTTGATCACGCGGGACGGGGGTGTTACATACACATCGTTGTGTTATGGGATATTTTGGAAATATAAATGGTATGGTTTTAATTGGAAGATGATTTGTCGCAATCAATGATATGTTTATGAATTAATCATGTCTCTGAAACATGTATTTGCATAAATGTAGGATAAATATATTTTAATTATTTTAATGACTTTTATTTTTATAGTCAATGTAATTATTGAGCATTTGGCTCGGTTTTGACTTAAATAAGTCTTTGAGACATTTGTCCGATTTAATTCGCTCTATGTTGGGCCTTTGGAATTATATGAGGTTATGGAATATTTATTTGATATTACATGTTTTAGGTGCGATAGTCATTTATTTATGTCGTGTAATTTTAGACTGTAATGCAATAGATTTATAGACGTAGGAGTCGGTTGGAATGGGATAGTGTTCCCTGTATTGTAGCTAGAGACTCGGATCAACGGAGGACTCGAGGTAAAGACTTGGATATAGTTGAACTCGATGACTATATGATCCGTAGGAGGGATGTCAAGGTAAAGACTTGAATAGAGTTTGTTAAACCCGGTTTCAGTCATATAATAGTGAATTAAACAATAAGAATAACAATCTAGAGATCAAATCATCATGTATATTGATAAACTCTCTCAATACATGTTTCTCTCTCTACAATCTCTCTCTAGAATATTACAATATGAGTTTGATCTGTACACATCTATATATTACAATTACTATTACAAAGCTATTTATATGATTGACTAAACATACAAGCTAAACTACAATTGAGCACGATGTTGACTTTTGTTGACTTTAAGCTTTAACCTTTTCAATCATTAAGCTCAGTGATCTCGGATAAGATAATATTTGGCCTAACAATCTTCCCCTTTGTATTCGATATCACATTCTTCAAGACAAACCCTTTGTCTTCACTTCAAAAGATATTTGACATAAACAATCTCCCCCAATGAAGACAATTAGACTTTATCAACCTTTGAATAAGACAAATCTGAAAAATAACAATCTTCCCTTTTTAACAAATATATTTTTCAAACCAAAATCTTAACTTTGAAGCAATTTTTAAAATCATTCAGAAACTTTCCCTTTTGAGGTCACAATAGTCAACAAATCTTCAAGAAAACATCTTGAATCAATAAATAAGCTTTAGACATTCAGACTTGAAGTTTTGACACTACATGTACTAAGCTTCTCACCTTTATATCATGAAAGAATCCAACTTTAACAAACATAATCTTTAAATCTTTCTCTTGTAAGCTCAAGGAATCTTTAACGAATATATCAACAATAAACCTCAACAAGTCAGCACAAATTCTTCAAATCAGTACCAACCTTTTCATCAACATCTACAATCTTAAATCTTATGGCTTTTCAACCTTAGATTCAAAAGATTTAGAAACAAACCTTCTCATTCATGAACTTATTCAACAATATGTTATCTTTAACATCCCTTCAACATCATCATTTGTTACCAACATCTTTGAACATTATTTCTAGTCTTTGCATAATGTCTTTCTTCATATCTTTGTTCATGTCTTTGATGTTGTTAGGGTTTACTAGAGTTGAACTTAATGACCGTATAGTTCGTAGTGATTGTCATTTCTAATGAATGAGCTTGACCTGGATTTGAGAGATCCTGGGTAAAGACTTGGATAAAGTTGAACTTGGTGACTCTCCAAGAAAAAAAGACTTGGATAGAGTTAAGTTTGTTAACCGTGAGTCCCAAATCAAACAACAAAATCAAGTTTCAATGAGGAAATTAAGAGATTGATAGATGAAGAACATGAAGAACCAACTAGATTCTTATTATTAGAAATCAATAAGCTACAGTCTCTCAAACACCTTACACGACTCTCATTGAATACAATAATGATCAACTATGAATCTAATCCCCATGTCACATATTTATAGGTGACACTTACAAGTAAAGCCCATTGCCCTTAAGCCCAATTACATGATAATACAATACAATACAAGGGTAATTGTCTTTATAAAACATTCTAAAACTTAGGACTATTTTGGTCCTAACAATCCCCCCCTAAAGTTTTATAAAACAAACATCTCTTGAAAGTCTAAGTCTTCTCCCCCTGCTTTTTCTTAAAAAACTCTGGTGTGTCCGACATTTATAAGATCTTCAAGCTCCCCCCTAAAGATAACTCTTACTCTTTAAGTTTCAACTTTAAGATAAGATCCAATGTGAGTTAAGCACCACCATTTGCATAAAGTATAACTAAAACTGCAAACGACTCAACACAACCTTGAACCGCGAAATCATCACCAATATATTAGCTATAGATTAATCCAACTATGAGATAGATAAATGTGCGAGGCTCGTGACATTCCAGTGCAAATAGTCAAATGACAAATAATCTTTTAATGAACCACGAGTTGAATAAGCATTCAACTTAAGAACTTGATCTTGGTAAGCTCATAATAGGGCAATCAACATTTGCTTGAAGTATTAAAGCAAACACCTTTGACTTTATAGACCCGGAGAGAATAATCAACAATAAGCACATAACTTTCAAAAACAACAAGTCAAACCAGATAGATAAGCCGATTTCCTTTAACCTTTCAGAAAACTAAATAACCAGAATCAGATCCTAAATTCTCAGCCAGAAGAATGATTATGAGGACTCAAAACTCTTAGATCACAACCATAGCATCAGAAAGAAGATGGACTTGTGTATACAAGAAGGTCAGGCAGTAGATCATGATGAAACCTTTTCTCTAGTAGGTATGATTAAATCCATCAGGATTCTTCTTGTCATAGTTGCATATCATGATTACGAGATATGGCAAATGGATGTTAAAACTACATTCCTTAATGGAACTCTAAGCATGACGTATACATGGTACAACTAGAAGGTGTTAAGTATTCAAAGTATCCTGAAAAGGCATGCAAGTTGCAGAGGTCCATTTATGGACTAAAACAAACATCTCGTAGATGGAATCTTCATTTTTGACGAGAAAAATCAAGGAACTTGATTTTGTAAAGAACGAAGATGGACTTATGTATACAAGAAGGTCAATGGGAGCATAATAGTATTCTTGATCCTATATTTCGAGGACTGATCATCGAAAATGACATCCTAATACTTGAAGGTGTAAAATCTTAGCTAAACAAGTATTTCATGATGAAGGATCTAGAAGAGGCAGCATATATCCTTGGCATAAAAGATCTATGGAGATAGACCTAAGTGCTTAATTGTATTAAGTTAGAGTAAATACATTGATAAGATCTTGAAATGCTTCAAGATGGAGGGTTCAAGAAAGGAAACTTGCCAATGGTGCATGACATACAATTGATCAAGACTCGGTGTCCTAATACTAAATAGTAAATAGGACATAAATCGTATGAAGGATGTTCCCTATGTTTCAGGCTTCAGCCAGCAGTTCAATCGTAAAACTAATTTTATTTTCTTAATAAAACTATTACGATGCTATAAAATTTGACTATGGATGACTACTAACCCATTATTTAATCCAAATTCACTTATTTTTAACATAAAGGAGTTGAAAATTGTTCCTTGTGGGTTGTTTTTAACCTCTAAGAACTTAAGGGTGTTTTATACAATTTTTCTAAACTTTAGGGGTTGTTTATGCTATTTACAGATTTGTTAGCCCACCAAGCTACGGCCCAAGTTCTCCGGTTTCCTCCCCGTTTATACCCCCTCACCCCTAATTTCTGCTACTCGATTGGTTGATCGAAGAACCTTTCTTTCATTTTCTGTTCAGAATTCTCTCGATTTCCAGCATCAACACGACCTTTAATCGGTGATGGCGTTGAACCACGGACTTAGATCATGTGCTTCAAGGTTGCTTGTTTCTGTCGATTCATCTCTCGCCAAGTCTGGTAAAAATCCGTTACCTAATCTCTTTTGTAAGGATGTTGGGATTAATTATAATATTACTAAATTTTGTTATTTTTTTGATTTCTATATGTTTGTGTTTCGTAGCATACGAAACGTTCAGGTCGTGTTGTTGATTCGGATTGCATATTAATGCTGTTTTGATTATTAGTTTTCTAATGGATCTATGTACTTGATGTTTAGTGTGGTACGTCATAGATCTGGCTGAATTTTAGGGATTATACACTGTTTTTTGATGTATTTATTTCTGTGCTAATTTCTTGGTTTAGTTTTCTTTGGAAGGAAATGATTTTAGAAAGAGCTATAATAATTTGCCATGTTGGGTGTATAGGTGCAGAACAGTACGAGCAGTATGTAAATGCACCAGACTGTTAAAATTGGAGAAATGAAAGAGAGGGGAGCATTTTAGGATCAATTGTTCTATTGTTTTAGACTAAGAAGGTTTACCTTGTTTGTGTACTTGGAAATGAAAACATGATCCTGTGATGATGAACTTGCATCAAGCTAATGTGTTTATAAGATTTTAATTGTTCCAAAATAGTTGGTTTCTCTGCATCTACGGCCAGCATCATTATCAAGTTTCCGTTTTCAAACTGAAATGTCAGTCAAACCCTACTATTCATGTGGATATGAAGGTTGAAGAAAGGCAGACAGCTTTAAATGTCCAAGTAAAACTCTAATCTTTGTTTAGAAAGTTAAGCTTTCAAAGCGTGGCTTGTTCATCAGGGCTTCAAAATCATATATTTTACAAAACTATTTGTTTTAATTTTTTCATATCAAGTTAATTCCTGAATGCCCACTATTTGAGATTTTGCTAGAAGAATATGTTTACTTCAAACACAGTGCATGAAAGTTCTTGCCAAGTACGATAAATATGAAGAGGAAATAGAAAATAAGTGTTAGCACTGTTATCTATACCCAAACTAATGCAGTATGCCCCACTCGGATATAGGGTCTTGGGGGGTAGGATGTACATAGATCTATCCTCTACCCAAAGAAGTTGAGCTGCTGTTCTGTGAAGAACCCTGGCTTGTGAAAAGTGTTTGCGGACATAAGTGTTAACTATGTCTATCAGTATGTCTGAATCAGTTGCAGTCAACTGCTAAGTTAGAATAACTGAGAACATAAATGAGATGGAGGCTTTGAGAGCTGAAAGATATGTTCTCATGTGTAGGCTGAATTTTTCCTGATGCTGCAAACCATTTAGATAAATGATGTCGCAATTACAATGAAATTAGTTTCACTAAATATCAGAAATATCATGATGAAAGCTCATTACAACTGATCCCTCATTATTGTGGGTAAACATAACGGCAAACAATCTCAAAGAGGATTCTCAATTTTTACTATTACTATTGTTAATTTTAAATGTTTTTAATTTTATTAAATAACTCATTTGGCAAGCTGGACTTGATCATGTGCGTGTGGATGATTCTTTAGTCTGAAACCACCTTTACTTGATTCGAGTATTTGGTGAATGTTTGGTATTCTTGATCTAATAAATAGTTTTTCATGTTAATCTGAAACTTTTGTTTGTTAGATAACACTTGCAAAGGGGAGGGGGCTTAAAGGGGTTTTCACATCTTGGGATATGTCTGTACAAAGTTTGATGTATTAGAGGATAACCGAGTGGAAATTCACTTCCGAGAAATCAAACTTTGGCTCCATGCACTCCAAAGCATAATATGTTAATGTTTATCCTTTGTTGTAGTTAGAACTCTTTTAAATTCTCAATGAATTTATTGGATTTGATCATATTAATCGTTTTATAAAGTGATCATAAACTGATTAGGGATCAAGTTTTTAATTGACTGGTGTACATAATGTGGCCCATAATGTTTCTCTTAAAATGGTATTGCTGACTGTAGTCCTTATTATACTTGGTGATAATGGTACTCGACTTCTTGGTCCATCCTAGTTGTCCATTTTTACTGGCTGGTGGGAGCCTAAGACGGATGAAATAAGGTCCATCATGTTGTTTCTTCCTTCCAAAGCTGTCAAGATGCCGTTCTTTTAATTAGTCGGGTTGGAGCATGAAGATGAAAATAGTACCGGAAGTATTGTTTATAGGAAGTAAATGTTCATTTGTTAGCATTTTTAGTATTAAAAGAAAAAAAAGCAAAGAAAGGAGACAGTAGAGAGAGAGATCTTCTATTGGTTGAAAACCGACTTTAAAGGGTGTATTCAACGACCTACTATAAAGATGACTAAGCCATCTCAAGCATTGTTGCTATGGCTTTTGCTTGATCTGTACAATTCATTTTTTCCCATCTATTAAAATTATAATCAATTATTTCATTTATGAAATGGTGGAAGCATTTGTTTCATTTTCACATGCTCTCATGCTTGTTATTGTATTGTTATAAGCATCTTAAATCACATATACATGCAGTGTAAGGATTGTCTTTTCTCAAGAGCCAACCACACCACTTTTTTTGTGGCACCCAATAATATGCGAATCATTCTGTGTCCTGTGTATCACTCCATTAGCTTATTCTAATTTTAGGAAATAGTCTTTCTCGTAACACTTCATTAGCATATTCTATATTTTTTTGTGTCACCTTATAATATGCAAATCAGTGCATGTACATGTTGAGCCATCAGTGAGATACCACTCTGGAAAACCTAGAATTCTAACCTTGTGTCAAGACGTATGGGCCAAGGGACAGCACCTGTGTCTGCGTTCCTGAAGGCACCCCTCTCTTTCAAGAGGATTTGAGGAATGTATATGTACTCATTTCTGTGGAACATCTTTCTGTTAATTTACTTTGTTATTATATACTTGTGAATGCTTCTTTGTTCATCTTAATAACATAGAAACATGCAAAGTGTTGTGTGCCTTTTAGTTAGGTAGACTCTTTGCTTATAATCCAGTCTTAAAGATAAAGTTAAAAGATGTATATTGGAAATAGCTAAATTTCATCACATTTTCTTAAGGTTTTTTTTTGGTTATATTTGAACAGCTGAAAGAGGGTTTCATTCAACTGGAGCAAAAAGAATGGGAGGACATGGTCATGATGAGCCAGCGTACATGCATTCAAAGCACATGTACAACTTGGACCAGATGAAAAATCAGAAGCTGACCATGAGTCTCGGTGTTTTGACCGCCTTCAGCATCGGTGTTGGAGTCCCCATTTATGCCGTCATCTTTCAGCAAAAGAAAGCATCTGGTTAATTAAGCCACCTCCTATTCAGGTTGCTTTTCAAGATTTCTTTTTTGTGCTTGCTTAATCTCAATAATGCAGACAGACGACTTATGAATGCTCTGTAGTACGTTATCTGTTCTTTTTTGTTTAGATCATATATAACGGTTTTTGAGCATCCGATGGCAAATCACGATGCATCATCTTGCTTTGAAATGGAAATTGTTATTATTTTTTTTTGTGATTTTATATAGTTTTAATCTGGTGGTGGAACCTGTTCACACTTTTTTTGCACCCACTGGAGATGCCCTTAACAAACGGTCTGTTTGCAGGCTGCATATGCAAGCAGTGCAATAGTACACACCATAATTTCGTAACAGGCCTTTATGTGCTGCACTGAAAAAGGGCCGCATCTAGACCGGGAGCAGATACATTTTTTGACCAATTAGTTTCTATCAAATACCAGCTTTTTAATTGACCGGGGTTAACGTTAGTCGGTTTGGACCGATATTTTTTTAAAGCACCATGTGGTGTTTGCCCATCCGGTCAACTGAATGGTTAAAGTGGACTGGATCTTGCGACCGACTAAACGGGTCTAATCCGTTATATATTTTTGGTTAAAGACTGGTCAAAGGGCCGGTTACACAGTAACTGGTTAGGGGTTGGGTTCTCGTGTGAAGGAGAGTTAAGGTGAGAAGCGTAAGAATGGATTTCCACCCCTAGATGCATATTAGGATGAGATGCACTGGATCAATCCCCGTATCAAGCGTGTTTTATGGATGAGTTTGAGATTAAAGGTGGTCAAGAGTCCAGATCTCTTTTTACGTTTTTCACTTAAAACTCTCCTCACACGATCCTTTGAAAGCTTGTTGGAGGTTATTGTAAGGGATTATTATCATGAATAAACCACATGGGCTAAAAAGTGACCTCTAAACTTTTTTTTTACAAAACAGCGAAGAAGCCGCAAGTCAACGATGCAAGATTATTTTTTTTTTTTTTTGCGGTGACGCAAGTGCGATTTTGACTTGCTTTTTGTGTGTCAACGCATGTTTTTGCGGTGCCGCAAGCTGTGGTGTCTCAATTTATTTTTTGCGGTGGGCCCATGTTCCATCTAGAGACTTAACGTCATCCTCACCTTCCTTCGGCTTATCACCGGCAGTCTGTTCAGGAGGTCAAGAAATGTCAGTCAGAAACCACGAGGAAAAATGTCTTACAATGTTGAGTCGTAGCTGTTTTATGGATTTTTTTGGAGGTCAATTAAAAATAAATTTTTTTTTTCTCATGATTATATGTATGATAATGAGGGCTGTGCATAACCTGTTTTTGCTACTGCATATATAACCCTAGTAATTAATGGCACATATATTTATTTGGTTTGATTTGATTGTAGAGAAAATTCCAGGAAAATCCAAAGAATTTTTTGATTCTAGAAAGTTCTTTTAACAATTTTCGTAACCAAATAATTCTTTAAAACTGGTTAAATAAATCTTTTTGAACCTGAATATGAGTGTCTTGAGGAGACTTGTTTTGATTTGAAACTAGCCTTTATTTGCTTTCCTTTTTTACACGTTGAACATAACGATTCCTTAGTAAAAGAGTGTTGAGGAAGGATAGTGACTCGTTCTTTTCTTAAAAAAAAAGATGGAGTTAGAGTAAAGATGGCGTTCCGTTGGAGGGTCATTGAAAGTGGAGGGGTTAGCGGTGTTGGGGTAGTTTAGGTTTTTTTTACACTTTTTGTACCGTATTTTACAAGAGTTTGAAAAAACTCAATGAACTTTTCATATTTTGAGTGACCATGACATTTTTTTAACAAACAAATCATTGGATTTTCTGAAACCTGTTAAATACATTCTTATAACTTTATGAAATGAGTTAATGTTGTAAAATATGGGAGTAGTCCGTAAAAATCCGACGACCATTTATATTTTGCACAATTGAGTCATTGGACATCTTTTTAAACAAATAAATCCTTACATCAATAAAGAATGAATCGTGGATTTGTTTCCTTTGTTATGGTGGAGTTTTTAAACTATGGTTATTGGTTAATACTTAGGGGGCCGTTTATCAAACACTTATCCGGTAAATGCTTATCGGTAAAATTCAACACTATTATTTACTTACAGGGGGTAAGATTTTAGTCCACCAAAACGACATCGTATGCAACAATTTACCCGGTAAATGCTAACCGTGATAAGAGTGTCGTCCTCACTTACCGGGTAAGACTCTCGATCCTTGTCTCCTTCTTACCGGGTAAAATTCTTAATCCTTATCATATTCATCTGATAAGGTAAAGCGCTTACCCGGACAAACGTTTGGTAAACGACCCCTTACTTTATCCATCCCATGAACAATGGAGAACATAAACAATATACCATGACTTATTGCAATTTAAGCCAAAAGAAAGTTTGTGATGCAAAGCATAAACCATATATCAAACCCAAATTCAAAATATACATAAAACCCATAGAATCTAAATTTATATCCTAAATCAAACAAAAAAGAAAGATGAGATCTAAAATGGCTCTCACTGATACCATCTACGAGAACGTGAGGTCGTCTTTGAGAACGACGAACCAGGTGTTAGTCTGAAAATGTTGCTCATATCTAGTTGAGAACGACGATGAGGAAAAAGATCAGAGTGAGGTTGAATTCGTCGCACTCTTTTCTAGTTGAGAATGACGAGAAAGAAATGAAAGTGAGGCTTTAAGTTAGGGTTTGAGCTAGGGGTGTTTAAAAAAGCCGTTGGACCGTTTAAACCAATTGAACCAAGTTAAACCAGACTCTTTTTGGCGGTTTGAGTGGTTTGGCGGTCCAATCTAGTCTAAAAAATAGCCAAACCGCTTGTTGCGATCTGGTCTGCGGTTTGAACATTTTTCTAAGCGATCTGAAATGAACCAACCATCAAAAATACACATGTATGTTATCATGTTGTAGGCTCAACTTTAGGTCCAATTAAAAATATTTGTCCAGGACATTATATTTTTAATTTTTATTTCTCAATCAACCGTGTTATCTAAATTGGCAAAAATTCTAAAATCCGTCAAAAAATAAAATCCCAAATCCAAATCATTCTTCGACTTGCTCAATGTTTGCCCAAAGTTTCAACTATTATTGATTCACTTGTTTAACTATTTTTCAACTTGCTCAACGTTTTCTTTTAAATCTTAGAGATAAATATTTCTTTTATAATTCGGTATACTACTTTTAATAATGTTTTATCGATATAAATTTCATTTTGGATATAGATACTACGTTTTTTTTAGTTTAAACCCATAAATCTGGTCAAACCAGACCGCTTTTTTGTGGTTCAGTTTGGTCACTTGCTAGCAAACCACTCGGTTTGAAAGTTTCCTAAACTGCCATTGTGGTTCGGTTTGTAGTTTAGAGAGTTAAACCACCCAAACCAGATCGCAAACATCCCTAGTTTGAGCATTTAGTTTGGATTTTTTTTTCTTTTTTCTAAGTTTTACTTGTTATGTTATACAGGTTACCAGTCATTCTTATCGATAATATAGTTTAGAGTAAATTACGGATTTAGTCTCTATATGGTTCACACTTTCTATTCACAATGGTCTTAAAATGAAAATGAAAAACCACAAGGGTGGTGCCTGATTGGTTTGAGTTTGACTCCAAAGGTCAAAAGTACCTGAAGGTCTCAGGTTCGAATCCAAGGAGAAATAAAAATCCCCTTGTGGCCACGGAGGTTCAAATGCAGTGACTCCGGGTTATCTGCAAAGCAGGTGGTCGCTCTGAGATTAGTTTTCTTGCATAGCGGGTTGGATATCCAGGTTAATCAAAAAAATAAATAAATGAAAATGAAAATAAATATAAGGATGAGATTCCTGGTTTATATTTTTACACTTTTTGAATCCCTTCCATTAACTTGAGAGGACATTTTGGTCATTTGTCATTGTTTTATCTTTTTCCTCTAAAGAAGAAGATGATCATAACAAACCCTAAAACTACTTTTAAAAACTCCAAATCGGAACATAAACCAAAAAACCTTGAATCAAAGCATAAATATGTTAAATCTTTTTGAAGCATTATCTCTTATTCTGTCAACATATCAGTGAGTAAACAATATTATCTCTTATTCTGTCAACATATCAGTGAGTAAACAACATTATCTCTTATTCTGTAAGAGATAATGTTGTTTACCAAGTGTTTATAGCCTCATACCGGATAAGTGCACAGAGCACCATTTATCCGACAAGAGGTTATAGACACTCAGTAAACAATCCTTATCTTGGAGAATACATTTTCCAAAGGCAGATCTAGCATGAGTTTGTAAACAAAAAGTGGAACTCTGCACGACTTAGTACACGAGCTTGAACTACACACGGTCCCGTGAAGCGAGTTAGATTGCAAGATTGAAGTCGTTTTGTATCTCACAAGGTCCAATAGGCAACATTCAAATGCAAATATTACAAAATCACATGCATCAGTTATCATAAACTAGGAGTGTTTGCAATTCGATGTGGTGCCATTTAGAGTTAAAACCGCAAACCAAACCATATGTGATTTGAACAATTTTCCGAATCACAAATTACACTGCATATGCCTGGCACGCAAATTACAGTATGATGTGGTTTGTACCTAAAACATACAATAAGTTACATCATAATACAGTTTGACAATTTTACAACTCAATTAGACGTCGGGTTGTTTCCGGTTGAGTTATTTCGTGTTGAATTGGGTTGATTGGGTTTTTGGGCACCCCTGCCCATGGTTGCCAAAAAAACCCTAAGGCTTATGGGTTGTTTTTCCGTAAAACGTTCTGTTTGAATTAAGTTGTTTCTCCGTAACATGTTCTATATGAATTAAGTCGTCTAGATAGATAAATTCTGTATGAATTAAGCTATCAAGATAGATAAATTATGTATAAATAAAAATAATTTGTTGTTTGTTTAATTTGTCTGAATAAACTGTTCCAAACGACCAAAAATGACTATTTTACCCCTTGGTTGTGCCATGCACATTCCAAATATCACAGATATAACCAGCAAAGACCAGATTAATTCAACCATCTTATACCAGTACAGATTCAGAAAATGTACATCTAAAGCTTTGGTAATTTAGTTTTACAACCGAAACATTTGAGACGAAAAAATAGTAAAAGTGAGCCAGGCAGGACATATCGACAGCGGGTGAGAATCAAAAGAATCGGTCTAAAACAACTAACTGTTCTTCGCGAGGAGCACTCTGCGCAGATGGAAAGCTTCGCCTTGATTTCCGTTCAGCAACCTTTTCTCTAAGAAGCAAGCAGTTAGTTGCCTCAAAAGCTTCTCCAGATAAGAATGCAAGCAGCTTCTATTGTCTTTCACCTCTGGGTTTGTCGACAATATTATCGCGTTCACTGCATCCGCCACGTTTTCTAGCTGCGATTCCTCCAGAAGATAACCCACTGACGATTTCTTTGGCTCTTCGTATGCCAACAAAGCAGCACAGTCCTACAAAATAATATTTTAACTCAATGACATTTAAACGACCAGCCTCTGGTGTTAAAACGGTCTATCCCGTAAAATCTTGAAAATACACTACAGGGTTAGTTTGTAAAAGTGAAGGTTATTTAGTTAAATATGGGTCATCAAGTTAAATGAGTTTTCAATTAAGAACATGATCTTCTACGATAATTTTATTAACTCAAATGAAATTCGGGTGACGTGCCTCTGGTGTTAAACAGTCCGTTCCGTAAAATCCTGAAAACATATTCTAAAAAGTTAGTTTGTAAAAATGACATCTACAAGTCATTTAGTAGGTGCCATTTACCTTGTTTATATGTAGATTTAAACACCAGTTAAGGAATACAGAATGGTTAAATTTGTAGTTTTTTAATTAATTTGTAAATATGTAGTTTTTTTTAATTTAAACACCTAAGGTTTTTTAGTTTCCTCATTTACCTTAACAAGATCTTCATACTCTTTCAAGCTATAAAATTTTTCAAAGTGAGTCCTCCCATAATCCACGGCTTCCTCCAGGTGTCCAACCTGAAAAACGAAGAAAGAATAGGTCAACAGACAGACACATTCCGTTATTTGAGATGGAGCCAACGAACAACAGAGAAAAGTAAGCGTGGCAACATTGAGGTTCGCTTCAATTTTTGAGCATTGCAAACTTCTTTTACAGCTTCAATGATCGAGTATCAAAATTTTCCAACTGCTGCCACGAGGTAACCATTTTTGTTATACTTCATAGACTTTCACCCTCCCACTGTGTATATTTTCCTCTCGTATAGTTTTGTTCTTCCCACATTACATCTTCTATGAAATCCCAACAGTAATAATGGTGGTAAATCATCACTAATCCTTGTATGATTCGCAAAAATCATGCTTAAATGCAATTTGGATGTCCCCACATCAATGGTACATGTTATAAAGCACAATTTGGGCAATTGCTGACGAAATTTTGAGCAGATAACGAAAACTATACCAAAAGCTGTTGATAATCGTATTCCTATCAACCCGAAAGAAAAAAAATTAAATACCCAATAAGCATTTGTCCGATACATTTTCCCATTGTTAGTAGTGAAAATTTGAACAGCAAGCAGAACCAGGATTCCACCCAGAAAAGCTCGATTATCAAACAATTCACACATCACAAATAAGCCTCAACAAAGTAACATAGTGTAAAATATCGCCAAAAACAAAAAGGGAAAATTTATTTACCCGGACTAGTTCAATGAATTTTTGACAGTGTAGCATAAGACAAATGGCTGATGTATCATCCTGCAGGGAGTAAAATTTCTTATGAGGATCAGCATAATATGAGCAACAGTAGAAATTACAAGAAATTATCTCAGTTCTAGCATTGCACATCAAAAGGACAAGAGAGACATGAGTATATCTGTAAATATTGGAAACTGCAAGCAACTTCCATGCTGCTCTAAATTTGCACTCCCTGTGCTCCAAAAATAAGAGCTACATTTTTTTAGGTGTACTTTTCAATCTATAGAATTGATAAGGACCGCCAACATTTTACAATAATGATAATAGGTTATGTCATTTAATGTTGGTAACCAATTCTTCCTCTAGTAAGTTTTTGGATCCACAACAATTCTCAAGCAGAAAGAACCCATTTGAATTGGAAGTGTGGCTCATCTCTTTTGAGTGCCAACCCATGGCTAACAGACCTTTTAAACCTAATGAAAGAACACTTACATCAATTTGAGTTCTACTCTTCAACATTAAGGGCTATGAACAAAGAAAATGAAATGAAGATTCAGAGCAATGATCTCCAAAAAAAAATGAGAATGCTCAAACAGGCTCGTCTCTTGAAAGAGATGGTAGTAAGTTTTCAGATTTCAGTGGCAGCTACTATTCAATAGCTTCCTATTTAATCACATTTTTTGGAGTATGGTACATTTACTTTCCAAACTGCATTGCATAAGTTATTTTCCTTGCATTCTAAGTACTGCCACCTAGGTGATAAATGCACTCATCTTCCTACAAACGCACTGCCTTCCCAGTTGAGTAATACAATCATGAAAGCTTTTCAAATTATTCAACATTACCACCCTCTGACAATTAAACTGTAAATCATGTATAATCCTAACATACTTTCAGACTAGAAAATATTCTTCATATCACAAGTATCTTATAATTGCTTGAGCATGCGTGTGGCCTACTTAATGGGTCAGATGGCAACACGTGCAACCATTATTTACATAGCTAGGTCCACCTCCCAAGAATTGCAATGATTCAGGGTACAGACTAAAGTACTTGTGATTCTGTTGACTTTACCACTGAAAGGTACTCTTAGAAGCAAACAAAATTCACAAAGTGGGCTTTAATGGGAAACAAGAACAACAAAAAAATAAAAATAAACTTACAAAGTCTATACTAAAATTTAGGGATGTATAATCCTTGAAGAAGCAGAATTCATAAATGCTCAAGAAGTTGTAGAAGGCTTGTAAACACTGACTTAAGATGATCTAAAAACATCTTCTTAGTAAACAAATTACATAAACACAAGAACGGGTATTCAACAATGGGTTATTTTGCAAAATAATAATAGATGACCTTAGCAATTTTCTAAAGTTGAAGTACAGATGCTGGCTTGTCCAAACTTGGCTGAATGCAGGAAGTCAAGAAAAAGAAAACATGACTTAAGATATATGTATATATGTGGTATTATGTTCCTTTTGCCAATACCATCCAAAGTTGGTGGCCAAGGTAGAGGTTGAGTCTCATGCCTTTCACCGACTAAAGAGGGACTAGAGATGGAGAGATTAAATCATTACAGCAGCCATCCTTCTCTCATACAAGTCACATACCTTCATAAAAGTTCAAAGATAGTGTGTTTGATCAACTCGAAAACGCAAAAACATGTAAGGAAATTGATACTTTAGCCAGGTTAAGCTTAATTCATGTAGAGTTAAATTAGTAAGTTCTGGGATAAATGCATTCCTTAATGAACAACAGTAGAAGAGAAAAATAAGATTGCTTAGCATTAAAGCACAATGTTCTTAAGTTTGAGATGGCATCGTGGAGATGCTGCATGCAAGATTTGAATGGGTTGACGACTAAAAGATGCAGCATAAAATATCAAAACCCAAAGAGGTGTGAAATCTCTAGGGTTCATATGATTAATGTGAGGTTACAGGTTTGAATCATTTCCCAAGCCCCATGGGGCCAACAAACTAATAATTTGCCATGTGTGCAACATTATGCTCACCACCCTAACGCCTTTGTAAAATTGGTGATTAAACATTAAACTGGCATAACAATACACTTTTTAAGAAACCGTAATGTTAGAGCTTAGTAAAAGGAGGTCAAACCGCTGTCCTTTTTTTCATTCATTTTTCTTATGAATAATAAGCTAGAGTAAATAACAGAGTATCTAATGCATTAAATTCTTTACCTGAACCGTCTGAGGATACCACTCACGTAGATTACCAAATGCATCATCAATTTGACCATCCTTGATTAGCTTCATAAAAGAAAAATATAGGTCAAGTCTTGAGTTTTGACACGTATATTAGTGAAGATAAGACATACATGAGTATAGATATTAGAAATAGCTGCCAATGCTGTTGCAGCCAGTTTTAGTTCGAACATGCAAATCATTTTGAAAGTAGATTAAATTCATTTCATTGCCATGTCATGTGGATGTTTTTAAACTATGATAAAAAATGTAGTTTCATGTTGCTCAATCAAGAAGAATAAAATCATCTTGTACACAGTCAGGTTCAATGAACATGTACTTCAGTAATGCTGTGTTCTCGAAACCTTTTTTACGAGGGAAAGGAAAGGAAAGGGAGGGAAACGGAAGGAAAGTAAAAACAACTTGTGTTCTCGAAACTTTTTTTAGGAGAGAAAGGAAAGGAAACGGAAGGAAAGTAATGATAAGTTTCCTCCCAAAACTTTCCTTCCACATGTGGGAGGAAAGGGAAGGAAAGGAAAGTAAAGAAATTAAAACCATTTAAAAAATTATTAAATTTACAAAACTACCCAGCCTTTTATTATAAAGGATATATTTTTAAAGGGTATATTTGTAAAATGACATATTTCCTTTCTCTCCTGTCCAAGAACATGAAAAACTATTTTCTTCCTTCTCTTTTCCTTCTTTTTCCTTCCCTTTCGAGAACACAGATGAAAAAATTATTTTCCTTCCCTATCTTTTCCCTCCCTTTCTTTTCCATCCATTTCTTTTCCTTTCTTTTCTCTCAAGATTAGAGAACACAGTGTAAAACAGGATATGTTATCATTAAGAAACTTTCAGGGTGAGGATGGGACAGAACTGATCCAAGTGCGGATTCCTAAGAGAAGAATAAAAACAGCCATAGCATCATTGAAATGGGAAACCGCCTTCATGAGTTCAAAAAATAAAAGAAAAAAAAATGCTACACCATCAACATTCCAATAATAAAAATATTTAAAAAGCAAAGCATACTGCAGATCAATGATAAAACGTCAAGAGTCTGGGATACTATCACATACACATTGTGTAACCATATTAAATAATGAAAGCACTACAAGAAATAGAACAAAAGCAATATGCTAGAACTATTAGAAAGGATAGGAAAGCAAAAGAAAGTAAGATTTGATTAATTGAATATCTAAACTTGTTGCATCAGAAACAGAACAGATAAGTAAAGATCCTCCATTCTTTCCCTCACTTCAAAATTTATTTCCAGCACAGGAATTTGGAAGCATGAAGGATGAAATGCACATAGCATAAAAATGTTAAGAGGATCCACCGCCTTCATATATATATATGTATGTGTGTGTGTGTGTGGAGTATGTTAACCATACTATGACCTAATTCAGTGGATATATAACCAGCAAGCATCAAACAGCATGTTTCACTTTTTCCCAGCTATCATATACTGTTCCACTCACATTAAAAGCCATATTCCTTTACAATTGAAAATTTGTAATCTTACCAATCTCTTAGAAGTTAGAATTCAAATAATGTTTTCCAGATATGCTACAGCAGGAGGCCCATATAACCACAAGTACATGTAGCAAACCAAGAGAACATATAAATAGACTAGTTGTTTGAAGAAAGTGCAGTGAAAGAGATAACTAGGGAAAGAAAATATAAACCATGTTTTATCATTAATTTAGTCTTAATTATTGCATTAGATTTCCAGGAAGGAGTGGTGCCTAGTGAAACCCACATCCATACAGTTTGGTGATTGCTAGCATTGGCAGACTCCTTTATGGGTTCAACACATCCATACAGTTTGGTAATTGCGAGCTTTCGCAAACTCCTTTTGTGGAGAAAGAGGCATCCCGATGTCACAAAAATAGTAGAGGGCATGTTCGTTGCACAGTGAGAATACAATAGTAACAACTAAATTTTGTTCAAAGATATTTCATTTCAATTATTATTGCTTGCAGAGTGGAACTCAACCATCTTGAGTCAAAATTTCTTCCCTTAAAGGTTATTCAGAAAGCTTTTGTTTTCTTGCCTTCCCAGTGGCTATATCTGGGGTTCAGATATAATTTTCTGATAATTTGATCTTCCCAACTTACTTATCTAGCACCTTAGTCTATGTTCTTTTACATTATAATATATTTTGGTTTCACATTTAGACTATCCCAATTAATCTGGTATAAAAGGATTTATTATTGTTGTTGATACTACTGAAAAGTTTCTCATCTCAGAGGAAAATAGAGCCCAAACAAAAATATAGAATGCTATCCTTTGCACCATTCATCTCCATCCTTCATTCACCATTTATGATCCTCATCCCAATTCTCACATCAAGTAAAAGGGATCCAAATAGAACCTATGAGCACAACTTCTTTCCCCTCAGACCATACATCTTACGATACAAAATGACACGATAGAAATGTTAAAATGGCAAAAATGAATAATGTACTCTTGTAGTAATCAACAATATCATCGTGGAAACCATGCATCGTCATTTCATACCTTTCGAAGAATTTTTCTATGCTTTAATGCATACACGCCATGCTCATTGAACCCGTTATCATGAATACCAGTAATAGGAGGAACTGAACTTTGGCTAGCCACATCAAAGACATGCAGGGTGTCCTCGTAGCCATAATGCTGTAGGTAGGAACGAACAATTCTGATAGCCAGGTTACAAGAAAAATAGTTAAAAACATTTTAAGAGCAGACTATCTACTATTAGACACAAATGATCAACTTGGATATACAAATTGACTTCCCAAGAACATGAACACAACAAAAATGAAAAGAGGAACCTTGCCAATTAAAGCACATTCCTCCTTTTAGTATATTCAATTATGTTTTCAATGCCCTACTTTCTTTTAAGCTATCTGCTATTACATAAGGAATTATTGTAAAATGACTTCAATTTTATTTCGCGGTTCCACTCATAAACATTAATAACAAGCTTGTATTTTGGAAAGAGTATACACCATGAGTAAATGACACCACCATTTTGATGTTTAGCCTGTGGAATGCAATGTTTGTATGTATGGTTCTCTCTGCATACAGAAGGGAAGGTCTAATAATTACATCAGCAATATGAACTGCCCTGTGCCATCTGAGAATAGGCAGTGTTTGGCAGGATCACAATAAAAGAATCAGTTTCTCACAAGTCTTGTGTACTATTTGTTCTTGAATTAACAGCCATTCTTAATAATTGGTGACTCAACATGTTCACACCCAAGCAATCAAGAATCAGATAGAAGATTAACAATGCATTTAATGAGAAAAAAGTGTCCTTCATGAGATGGAGAGACATCAATGCCCAGAAAGCACTTGAGTATCAGCAGATGCAATCTGAAACAGCCTAAAAGAAACCTACATAGACCAGTTGTCCCTGAAGTATGATAGTCATCCACATCCACAACTGAACAATGTCCCTACCACTTTTGAGCTTCTAAACACAGAATCATCATCATCACTTTGGGAGACAACAAGCTGATGTAACAAACTAATCAAGAGTCTGTACGAAGCACCAAGACTCTAGGAGACTGTTTAAACCATGTAAGGATCTCCAAAAACAACACTTTCCAACCCTCCTGAACCACAAGAGGATGTGGTGAACATCAAGATGATGAAGTGGCAAACCATGCATAGCTACGAAAGCAATCAAATATGAAACGAGAGGGACCTCCTCACAATCAACCCCACAAACAACAAACCTAAGAATAACCCGTAGACTTTGGAAATGCAATTTGGCTGTAAATACCTATTTACAATCTAAACAAACTTCCCTTGGGAAATACATTGCAAAACCTAAGCTGCATCTGCCTGAAGTATGGTTACCTACTACTACACGGCCTTCTTTCTTTCTCTCATCCTTCCATTTATCCATACCCTTTATTTTTTTDTTTCGATTGACAACTTAGAAGCAGATTTTTTTAATCAAAAAAGATTTCAGTTGCTACAACAATATGAACAATATATCATATCTTGACTGGTTCTCTGGATCCAGATAATACGATGTGATGACTTATACCATCCAGGATGCTAGAATTCTTTACATACGCTTTTAGAACAACTAAATCTAACAAAAAAACGTGGAGGCACAATTTTGTCAGGTGAGAAAGCAGTATAGGCCGCATATTTACAAGACTACATGTACATAATTAATGATAGGAGCACCATGAGGGCAATTGTTCTTTCAATCATGGGTTCTCACTCATGTTCTTTCAGGCACGGGTTAACAGAGAATCAGAATGGCCACAATGCAAGGGATAGAGATTATATGGGAAGTCATGGGGTTCAGAAAATGGATAATCAATCTTTAGAACTATTCAGGCAATTCAAAGTAGAACTATTCAGGCAATTGGAGCCACAAGAACAGGAGTCGTGAGTGTTGTATATGACACCAGGAAATCTATATGTGCCTGAAGTCCTGAACACACACATGGTAAATACGCTCTTCACATCTAGACAAATAGGGCAGCAGCAGGAAGATCCGAGTACACCGGACTCCGATTTGTTCGCCAGTCATTGCGAAGAACACTTCCCCCCCCCCCCCGGCTTACCGCGGCTGCTGGCACAAATTCAATTCCCGAATTTATCGATACGTTTATGGGTACTAAAATGGCTCTCACTAACACCATCTACGAGAAGGTGAGGCCGTCTTTATTTCCAGCCGCCATATGAAGTGGTAAAGAACAAAAATCAGGCATGTTGGAAGAACAGAACTCCATCCCTCTTAAGTGAAAGATTTTCTAAAACCGTAAATGAATAAGAGTAACCCTTCCACAAACAAGAATACACAACAAAAGCTGATTTGGTCAATCTAATATCCAGTTTGATACAAATAGCACCATGACATCAATGGGGCACAATTTGGGCATGTGAGATCACATGGGCGAGCAGATAGAATAGAATGGCATACAGAAATGCAGTACCAAGTACACAAATTAATGAAAATTTGTAGTAAGAATTTCACTAGACCAAAAAAGGAAGGAGAATTTTATGAATCAAGAGTGCAAACAACCACTAACATATGACAATTTTTTAGAAATATCAGAAGATTTGATATCATCCAAATAAACTCATCAAATCCCAGATGAAGTAGGGTGTGAGAGGGTAGGATGTAAGCACACCATACTCACCCTAAGGATTAGAGATGCAGCTTCCAGGAAGAACCCCAGCATGCAAATAGATTTTGCAAAGAATTTTTTGGAGTCTTAAGCAACTCCGGAGGTTTGTCAAAATTTTGAAAGAAACCAAAAGAGAAAAAAATAAAGAAATGAAGTTCAGAAGAGTTGAAGAAGAGTTTGTAGAAAAGGAAGAACAGATAAGCATACTACACAATAAGAAAATAGTTCTAAAACACATAAGTATATGAAACCATTAATCTTCCAAACGATGAAGTGCTAAAAGGAAAAGAACAAGTGAACCAAATCATGTGTCACACAAAAGCCCCACCCCCTGAGGCTTGGATACCTAGGTGTCGACTCTCTAACACTCCCCATCCACAATAGACACAAGTCCTTACAATCTGCTACCCTAGTCTTGCGTCTCACAAACTCCTAATTGAGGTCATGTGATCAAATGCGTTGTACTTCAAAATTGAGGATGAACTCAATGCAGGGAATTGGATAGATATACTAATGGGAAGTCCTATTGAACTGTCAAAGCCTGTTGGTCTATATGAAGGAACCCAATGGCAATTATGAGATATCCTAATCATGCACAAAGATCAACAGATCATAACAAAGGGTTGTCCAAGAGTGCAAATTGGCAGTATTTGTTGCTAAGAGTCCTTTTAACAAAGAAGATGACGATGGGAGGTATAAAACACAAGAGCAAGAAAGATGACGATGGGAGGTATAAAACACAAGAGCAAGAAAGATGACCTGCTAGAAATGATCATGGCAGCCAAGAAGATGTATAGAGTGGCTTGGAGGAATCTATGGTTACCGACAACCAAAGACTGAAACATACATCAACGGAAGCTAGGCTATTGGTGACGAGTACTTTAGTGCAGATTTGGGTTTTACAATTCTGAATTTACGTTCTCAGGCAATGTAGAGGTTAAGGGTTGGGTTTCTAACAATTACGATGATAATATAGGTCCACTCATGTTAATGGAAAACCACAGCAAGCCACAGTCCTGTGATACTTTATAAACATTATAAAAGACATTAGAGACACTAACCCTCCTATATTTCAAAACATTAACGAAAAAAATGAAGAACTGTAATATCTTATCATATGTCTCACAACACAAGTAAATAGATATTTGACTTGCAGAATGAGGGCTAAATTTCTAAATTAACATGTGCAAATTGAGGTCTGAATCGTTCAGAGTGAGACAAAAGTTCCAATCTAATATTTGATATGGATTGCCAAAGCTTATTTAGTGGGGGAAAATATAGTAAGATACACACCCATAACTAGCCGTCTGTGGTATACTTATTCTTTCAATATACGTCTGTTGCTTTGCTCTTTGTGCTGCTTCATATGCCTGTTCACCAATACAAACATGAAAGAAGTCACAACCACATTATATGCAGCATATAGAACTATCTGATAAATAATGCAAGTAAATAGAAAGGCATGCATGCAAAGTTTGTTGTTATCACACTTGGACTTACTAGTAAGGATTTATCCTAGAACCATATATAAACTGAAAGCAGGTCAAGTTTGGTATGCTAAGCGATCTAAAAGCAACAATGTCAAAGAAATTAGATGCACACTTATAGGTCGCAAGTCCCAGTAACTTAAGTGCACCTTGGCTTTTAACAACTTTGTAGCTCGCAAGTCCACAGTAAGTTAGCTGTGACACGGCAAGACAATGGTTCCTTGACAGTGGTACAAGCTGGACATATAAAAATACAATAGGATAGACTGACTCGGTTGACAATGATGCCCAAGAAGACCTGTAACGTTTACATATAGCTCTCGCTGGCTGGTAAACAACACATGGAATATGTGGGAGTATTAACCATTCTAACAAGAAAAAAAAAACAATTTGGATTTCGTACAAACTATAGTTTCAAATCTAGATTCTTTATATGGACAGATTTGCCAGGTTTCGAGCCAATTTTTTTGCTAACATCCTTGTTCCTAAAAACGGAGCCAGCATAGTATCTTTTTTAGCTCCCATAAAGAAAGGTGGCAACCATGTGCTTTAAAACCTTCTTTGATCATCTCAAGGAACTGACAGATTTATATTGCATAATGCAATACAACCGAATGCAAAGAAACAAGCTCTTACAAATAGGTATATAATTCATTGTATTGTTTTCTTCAAAAAGATATAATGTTGACTTATGGAGTCTTAGACGAAAGGTTACCGTAGAATTTCAACTTTATAAACAAGGCCAGAAGTAATGAGGAAAAGTTATGCAAAACATGATACTATGGTGCCGTATTCTGGAAAGAATATTGTGGGAATATTGCCATCCAAGTTTACAGTTCTGAAAAAACAAACAGTGAAAGAAAACTAAAGGAGGAGATGAGTTACAGAAAAAGATATGCTAACGAAAACAAAAATATGAAACGATTCCTTCCACTGATGTGGTGTCAAACGGATAATTAACATATGGCTGCAATTCTTGTTTTCTGAAAAATAGATCACCTTTTTGGCTTTGGACTAGTTGATAGTACCACCAACTGGTATCTTGTTCTTATTTAGATTACTGTTTATCCAATTTTGGATTCTTTTGCACATCTGGTGCAATTAAGTATTTACATAGGTTTTCAAGGCTTAATGAAGCTATCAGCCAAGTCTGGGATACTAAAGAACCTTCTGAGCGCAAAGAAAGGCAACAAAGAGTTGGTCGAGCATATGTGTACACCAAACCAAAGGTAAGACTAGTCGTGCCTAAACGCCATGACAACGGTATTAACACATTGGACCCAATACGATGGGCCGTGCATTTATGAGCGCACGACATAGGAACACTCCTTGAGAAGATGGATAAGTTGTGAGTGAAGTACGGGTACAAGGAGTTAATCAACTAGACAAAAAAGATTAGGGTTTGCGTATGCGTATGCTAATATTGAGGTGTGGATACAACATCCCACATGAAATTTTTAGATTTTCTTTGGTGACTTGTCAGATCCAACTCCAAACTGTCCAAAGAAGGAAACCATAAACAGAACTATACCCCAACCTACTTATCACTTTCATGATCTTTCCAGCAGTTTTAAGCTTCTTTTTGTGCCCAAACCTTCTCACAACCCCTACCTCAATTTGCCATGGTTCAGATATCATTGTATTGGTAATCATTCCAAAAGACTAATGGCTCCATTCAAAGTTTCAATTTACCTGATCCATCTTTCGGCAACCGTTAACTAGTTTGGGATGAAAAGATTGTTGTCAACTTAGTTGTTTGATAAATTTGAATGAAGAACAGTTGATCGATTAGAAGTTTCAAGTGATTAAGAGATTCTACACTGATGCAAAATAATAAACAAATAAAATGTTTGATAAGTATTCTGCATGATACAACTGACAAAAAAATCTTTGGCCATCCGAACTATTTCAAACAAGGTGTTATTGATAGAATTGGATGATAATTGTTGAATAATCTTATCACAACATGCTTTCATAATAAAAGTATGGAATTAACCAAGACCTTGTAGTAATATTAAGCAAACCCCCATGCATCGATCTACTAAAAAATCACAAAAAAGAATATTTATTTGCAATTGTTATGTGAACACATATATTTTTTTTGCAAAAGAATTCAATGATCAAATCTTCTTGATGATTTAGAGGCACTTATCAAACTGATGTTAAACGAACATAATTAATTTAATCAATGTTATATATTTATCTGTGAATTTACGGGTTTTAACCCTATGTTATTCTTAAAACAAAATGCTACAAGTTTAAGAATACTAAGAGCAATCATGCTGCAGCTTTAGTTATATAAACCTATTGGTGCATCAAAAGCATAAACTACAAAACAAAATACCAAAAATGATTTCTGTTTAGCTAGTGGACGATTTTCAATCATCTTCCTCCTGAACTCAAATATCTTAGAGCCCATCTCCTCCAATTACTCTTGGAAAATACTTATAAAGAGACTCATCCCCAAATTAGCAACTAGTTTTAACATCGCCAAATTAGCCCCTCTCCAGTTTATTGATAGATCAATAACAAGACTTAAAGGATTGTAGTTGACAGACTAAGTATTACTTTTCAGTCGACTTTCTGATGCTCTGCCAGTGCGGGTTCAGTTTAACTGCATGTTTAGCTGTTTGCATTTGTTCATCTTCCTTCCAAGAGCCCTATTAAATATTCTGGGGTAATGCCACCTTATAGCTAGGAGAGGGGAATATGAGTCAAGTATAGGTTTTATGTGCTGAAAAGATGAACACATACTTGCAACTTGCATAGCATTGTATAATGCTCTCTTGTACCTTGGATTATGGTTATGGAAGCTATAGCCACTTCGTTGTGCGAGTATTCATAATCATTTTTCTTGTTGTGCATTACCATTTGCAGCAAGGGTACCATGTGATGAGTTAAGAAACCTTTACTTGGGACGAGAAAAAGCTTTGTGAAAACTATCAGACTGATATATGGTATATCATTGTTGCCCAATCATATTATTTATCATGTCTCAGAATTCTATGATCTCACATTTACTGCACTCTATTGCGTATGTTCTCAAGGTTAAACGAATAATTTGGCTAAGCATTGAACTTAAAGATTCTGAATACTAAACAGGAAAGCAACAAACAGTTGACCAAAATAAAAGGAAGGATCAATAGCTAGACTATATAGGGATATGTCAAGTAAAGAGAATCAAAACATCGCATCCAAATTCCAATGTAATGATACAATCTACATTCCACAAGTGTCTGCTATGCACCCACCTACAACCCCAAGCCCACCAGTATGTTTTATGTATTCTAGAAGAGAAAAAAAAGGGATAATTCAGGAAATTTGGAGATAGTTTCTTAGTAGGGGCAAGAAAGAATTGTTATCACAAAGTTTGTTACGCCTTGTAATAAATAGGCAAGAGTTGTAGAATAAAATTAATTGAGAAAATATTATCGAGTCTGTTCTTTGGAGAGGATAGCCTGCCTCTCGAATGCTAGTTTAATCAATTGATCTTTCAACCCTATCGAAAAAATTATTGCTTAACTTCTTAGGAGAGCCTGGCCTCTCAAATGCTAGTCTTATCAATTAATATTTCAACCGTTTTGATTTCACTTTCTGGTTCATAACAGTGTTTAATGGTTTATACCATATGCCGAACTACAAATTTTGACCACAATGGAAATGCATAGCCAGACGGTGTTGATTATGCATATGTTACTGGTGAAGATGGGTATACTACCAGTCAATTTTACCCCCAAATTTGTGATTTTGCAAAATTTTCTTTGTACTTCATGTGCTATTTGACTAGAAACTTTCAGAGGATGTTTACCTAAGAAGGCCCTTCGCCTTGCCCAAATAATCACTTAGACACAACTTTGCCCTTTCTCTTTTTCACCAAAATCTCTTCTGGGCCGACCACCATTTGGCCATCATGCATCTTGACATTGTTCCAAATAACTAATGACCTTGTGACCGTCAATGGCAACACTGAGATTGTAATATTTCGTTCTCTTGTAATTGAATGGTCAGTATAACCCATTTTGTTGATCGTGACATTGAAATCTTGTACTGATATTCAATTTGTTGAACGTCGGACTGGCTATCTCAATTAAAAATCAAGTTTGACCCCTAGATAGGTGTTATCTTCATCTTAGTCAATTATATCTGCAGAGGATATCAGTTTAGTGAAATTAAGGTGTGAAAGAAGAATACATTAGATAGGATAGGATGCCTCAGAATGTGAGTTATATCTTTTTCTTGGACCTTGATACACGGTATAGAAAGAGCACCTATGGTAACAAGAGCAATGAGTCATTTCCTTTTTCATTGTAAAAACCATCGTATTTTTCTGCATTTATTCTTAATTGTTTGTTAATTAAGTAATCATAAATGAATTCCTGTTTATTTCACTCGAATCATATTGTTAAACACTTGGACTCTGGAAACAATTCACTTACCCTAGCTAGTGCAAGTAGGTTTTATAAATATTACTTTTGTGGAGACTCACAAAAATCGCCATTGCATGTCTATACTAAAGAAAAAAGAACCAAACTCAGCAAACAGGGAACAGTAACCAAGTCATTAAGTTAACTAACAAGAACTAAGGTGTGCAGGTGGATCAAATTGGAGTTGATTGCAGATATGTTCCTCAGAAAGTGCCAACAATCTCAGAGATCAAACAACAAGATGATATCTTCACCACATCATTAGAAAGTAATTTGTGTGATTGTTTTTGTTAAGCAAATTTCGAGATCAGGTGCATAATCATAAAGTAATTAACCAACTTTTATATATCTATTGGTGAGGGAGAACCCTCTCCTCCCAGGGCTTGAATCCAAGACCTTGGGATGGAGGGACCTAAAGAACTTGCCATTGATGTGTCTCCTTCAAATCTACTCTAGTTAGCTCACTGAATGCGAATATGAGACCAAAAATAACTTCAGCAGTTCTGAAACTCTAGGTAATTATTGATCAATAATGTGAATTTACCAGCCAACAAAAACTAGCAGAGAAGTTAATACAAGACCACACATAAACTTAAGTAACTATCGAATCAACTAACATGCTCACCACAAATGAGCATAATTACAAAGCAGGTGTGCACATGGAAATTGAGAGAGAGATAGAAAGGAAACTTGTTTATGAAGAAGATCAACTACAAGAAATACTCATCACTTTAAACAAATTAATACCTGGAAGGCTTCAAATCAGAAAGTCAAAAATCACAACCAGCTGTTCTAGACATAAAAACACAACAATAAAAGTTGAAAGGAAATTGGATGCCATAGGTTACCTTGATGTCAAAAAGAAACGGATCTTTCCCAAAGTTAACACTCACCCTGAAACAGAACAGCATACCGAAGAAGATCAACAATTTTGAGAATATACCAATTGTTTCATATGGTAACCACCAAATGTACCATCACAGACGCCACATTATTTTTCAGATAACAAACATGTGAGTTAATGTACATTATTTCTCCTTACAATCACATTCTCTCTTAAAAAGGGATGAGTTTAGTGGTAAATTTGGTGGTTGCCATAGATTTACGCTTAGACAAGCAAAGTAACAAAGACATAAACGACATTTAGAGAACATTCCAGGAGAAAATAAATGCATGAAAAGAGATTGGTTAAGGTGATTGGTCAAGCTGGCAAATGAAAACATTCTCAAGTTCACATTGTCCTCTACACAAAATTGAACTCCAACCACTTCCAGAAAAAGGACGGTGACAGAAGTTAACAAACATATAATTCTGTATGTTCTTGGATAAAGCCAGGGCACATTGGACCAACATCAAATTGAAGTACAGAAAATCTTGAAAATCTGATGTTCTGTCACTGCGACTTCGCTAAAGAACCTATATCATTTGTATCTCATTTTGAGATTCACACAAGTGGCGCCAGTAGAGGTAAATCAGTTTTCCGTGTTCAGAACAAGAATAAAGATGTCCATTGAAATTCCAGCACATATAACTAAACCATCAATTTGGATAGCAGACCCTCAATCATTTTAATTATTTTTGGATCTATATGATATGCATAATCCGAAAGCAATAGCCAACTGGGCATCCTTGACAAGAGGATGACAAGACGCTCGATACTACATTGTGGCTGTAGTTTACAGAAAGTTTCCCAAAAGTTACGTCTTGTAAAGAGAACACATAATCTTACTCTTCATGTTGACTGTGAACAGCAATTGTAGGATATAAGCGACCTTTTACATCTTTCTCTACTGTTCCAACCACTTGACCATTTTTCCTGGCATCAAGAACATAAACATATTCCTGTAAAGTACCTGAAAGAATGATTACTGGACAAGCAAATAACAGAAAACTGCACTATTAATTGTTCTCATTCTCATATAATCAACGACAATGTGTCAAAGTTAAAGTCAGATTCCAACATAAAGAGGCCTACAAACAATCTTACGTGAAAAAGAACTCCTGTGAACCATAGTTAATTCCACCACCGACTGTATCACCAGTGGAATAAGTTGGGCCAAACGCCTCTCCTTTTCCTTGTCCACGATAAAGCAGTCCATCATCCCCATGATATCCAAAACTGTTTGCTTCCCAGCTGTCACACAGTACAAAGTTCAAAACTATTTCAGAAATACAAGCTAAAGAGCATAGAACTAATCTGCCATAGATCTAACTAAGCACAAGGGAAATAAATTTATGTTCCGTCTATTTGGATGAAAGAATGGTGCTATTGTGGCACTTTCAATCACAGTATTGCTTAGTGCTTCATCTGGGTGATATTTTAGTTCCAAATCCAAATTCTTGTTTCTGCATACCTAACTACTCAGTGAGAGTCACATGTTAAACCTATCACCAGAAGCAGTTAAGAAAGACATGTTTGCTTAACGGTTATTCAATTAGAGAGAAAATAATAATGAAACGTCAAACGTATAAGAAATAATGCATAACCTTGAAGATATGACAATCAATTCTAAGTACTAGTTCATCTGTTGGTTGGAGCAGATGCGAGTGCAGAAGTATCGTGACAACTCACAATTATCTGCTGGAGTAAGATCTGAAAAAAGAAAATATCCCTGCAAGTTCTTCTTTAGAGTTAAACAATTGGGAGTGTACCTTCTTTTGTATTGTACTTCGGGTATAAACCCCTAAGGATTTTCCTTTTGTGCTCTCTTCCTTCCTACATAAGGAGAGCTTGGGGTTGAGTTTAATATGTCATTTGTTAGTTCCAGATTTCAGTACTTGTAGTTGCAATTTGAAGCATTCAAATAAAAGTTCTAACATTTGGCTCTTACATTCTTGTACTTTAATTTTTGTCTTGCGTTGTTGTAGCAATTATTGCGGCACATTTACCTCTTGTCTTTAATGTCATTCCTTTTTGTCTTATTTTATTTAAGCATCACCTCAAGCTATGAGAGGCTAAAGCCTTGAGCTTGGGTGTGAGGTTAAGATGAGATAACGACCAAAAGAAGGTGGAAATCGTTTCTCAATATGATGTTCCACCATCTCATTCGAGTTTATAAAGAAAACACAATACTTCTTGACAAGTTGATCGCTTATTGAAGTGTAGCAGACTCAGAGATAAGCTACTTAGAACACATCAACATGGATGACTTTGGGAATAGGCTCGAGAGAGTTGCTTTAAACAAAGAGATTTGTTCTCCATGTATTTTAAAGAAACATAACATGCTTTATCTAAAACTTCTGTCTTACATAGAGATATGGAGACTTAATAGCAAGGCTTGTGTATTTTGAAAAGCTTGAGAGAGTATCCTTGAAATAGGTGGTGGTAACTATTGTTGAAGCATTGTTGCGGCATTGCTAGGGCAATTGTCAGCTAAAATTTGTGTTTCATCTCATCCAAATCTTACACCCTTGATTCTTTTTATATTTTGCCAAACACTTTTAGTTGTTAAACTTGCTCCAAAAGAATTTCTTCGAATTCGCCATCTGAAGTTAACCTTTCACCTTGAGATCTTGCAACTTAAAGATACCTTTCCCTCTGGAATATGATACTTAGTTCTTACAAGTTACAAGTTTATTACTTGAAAAGTGATAGTGTTCACACATGTATACTTGCATGAGTTACCAAACACTAATCCCGATGAAGGACATGTACAACCCAACACCCAAATTTGGATTTCACACCACTATTTCATCTACAAAAATTGACCTTTGATAGGAGTTATCGGAGACGCAAATTAGGGTGGCAGACTAGGGGTAGGGATATGTAGCTAGCATAGATGGGAGCTCGAGATATAGAGGGGTTAGAGTTACTGAGTCGGTCGTTAGGCTACTAGAATCCTAAGTTAAACTATTGGGTTTGTGAGTTTTCTCAAGGTTTTATTGTACCTACTTTTGTTAGTATGTTGTTGTCTGCTACTAACTCGCTTTTCTTGTCTCATGTTCTTTTTCCGCACACTTTTCACAAGTCATGGGTCTTCATGGAAACAACCACTCTACTTTATGGGGTAGAGGTGAGGTCTGCGTACATCCCACAGACTGCACCTATCAGGCTTGTTTGGTTTACTTTTATTTCATCTACAAAAAGCGGTAATAGGCCCTGTTATTGAACACCTAAACTATATTGTGATTCGGTCGAGGACCCCAGCTATAGTTATGCGATTAACTGCGCAGAGAGAGAGTGTGTTAGTGTAGTTCATGCATAATTCAAGTGGAGATACCACCTATTGGCAACCAAAATTTCCATCATAAGATGGAACACCAAAGTTAGACATCCCATGGATCAAGCTATATAAACAAACATGAATTACAAGGTTGATGGGATCCGATTATGAACTTCCGTATAGAAAACGAACAAAAAATGTGGCAGTTGACTCCCTGTCAAGATGGTTTAAAGGAAAATTTTGCATGGTCATCACCACTATTGTTCCTATATGGATCCAAGAATATTTGCCTTAATAGCGTAGGGTCAAGACTTTAGGAGGAAACTCTATCTAAGCTAGTTGTGGATGGTGATAATGCACGACCTTAACTTGCAAGCATGACAAGCTTAAAGGTAGGTTGGTAAAAAAATTCCCCAAATTCACATATAAGAGCTGGAAGTCAAATAGCAAGAGATGAAAAGGGACAAGACAGCTGTTATAATAGCAGCTGATTGCTGACATTTGGCTGTGCAAGGCTGCTGCCAGATTAGTGATTCATCGCTAGCCATATTAGAACAAATTTCTCTGACGTCGGAAAAAAATCTATATCGACAAGGGATGCAGGCTGATGCAGTGGAAGACTATTGAAAAGATGAATTCGACTAAATTTTTTGCCAAGGCATATATGCAGGTATGGTCATTGAAAGTATCCCTCTCCTCCATTGTAATGTTGTGAACCTTAGGGTGTGCTTGGTTGGGGGTATTAGAAGGTAATGAATATAAATGATAATCATTGATTATGTTTGGTTCAATCAAGGAATGAAAAATGATGTTTGGTTTCAAAAAATTAATCAATCATTATAATAGATTTGTTAAAAAATCATTTCTCCTCAATGGGAATAGGAACTTTTTCTTTTAATTCTGCCTCTCACTCCTTCCCGTCTACCAAGATGTGCATTGGAAAGATGATGCTATGCGATGGATTAGGTGGCTATCAAGTTTCTTTTTTGTTTTTTATTATTAATTAATTTTAAGGAATCCCTAATAATATAATAGAATGGAATGAAAATAATGATTCCCATTCTACACCTATTTTAATTACCAATCCCATTTTTATTCCTTAAAGCGAACCAAACGCCCCCTTAGTATAAATAGAGAAGCCTTACTTCACAAAACCATATCTGGAATTTAAGAGAATTACAGCAAACAAAATGAAAATGAGCTGATTTATTGTAAGAAATTTTTGAGTACTTTCCGTTCCAAGATACGAATCAAAAGCAATACGCACCCATCAGTGCTTCAACCTACTTGTTGTACTTAAACTACAGTAAGTTTCTATTCACTACACCTTTAAGCCTATTCTTCGTTTCCTTTTGCTGGACCATTTAATAAATGTCATTTCACCATTGATTACTCTTTTTAGTTCTAGAATGTGATTCTTGTGGTCTGACCAAGGGGCAATGATCACGAATCCATAATAATTGATTATTTTTCTCATACATCTTTGGACAATACAGGAAGTGAACTTTTGTATCATTGGCTAGCCAACCAGGTGTTTATAATGCAAAAATGAGTTTCGCATCATTAATCAGCCTCCGTGGTGTCAATGCAAAATTACTGGTATTCTATAAATATTTGATGTTCCTATGACATATAGAATGGAACAAAAGGCCTTTATAAGTGAATAAGTGATTGTGCCGATAAATAAATATAGCATTCCTACATGGTAGGATGGAGTCTTTCAAGACGACAACCAAAAGCCTTTCTGTCTAAGCCGAACTGTCCACCTACACAGAAGCAATTATATATGGTATAACATAACTTTTTTGAGAAAATAGTGATTGTGCCTGGGTAAATGATCCCAGTTAACGTTGAGTCCCAAAAGGACCATATGATCTCACACTAAAGTAGGGAGATTAATGTTACAACTACGATTATTGTGTTGGCTTAGTCTTGTCGAGTATGATTTATGGAGTTACGTGTCAGAAATTACTGATATTATGATACATTCTCATCTTATTGGCTATTCTGCTGTCGTAACGATTATTCTTTTCGTATTGATATTCCCTAGCTCTTGCATTAATATTTCTGCCTTAGAGCATAGTTTCTTGTCAAGACTCGAGCGCTGTCGTTCACCCCTTACTCTTTCCCACCCAGGTTATGAGGCAAGTACATCCAACGATAAAAGAAACACGATTAGTTGTGAAATCAAAGATTGCTTCCGCATTAGTTAAAGTCTTAAAGATTGTAACATTTGATTATTTGCAACGAGTATTATGAATCTAACGTGATGATGTTATGCTAAGCTTCCACAAGTCGTGCAATTTAGTGTTCATCGACTCCGATCCCACTCCTTACATGTTGTGACAATTGAGAATATGAATGTTGAAAGTTAGGGGTGTAACACATATGTTTAAAGTTAGGACATATGGCATAGACATTGTAAGCAACTTAGTCACCGACTCTAAAACAGGAAAGGTTTCTCCCAAAGTATTTTGGCTCATGTGTTGTATAAGATCTCGAAGTAAGCAAATTCCACATAGGTTCATCCAATATTCATGTGTTTGCATTGGAAGAAGAATATTTACCAATCCATTCATCTCCTCATTTGGACCAACATGGTTAACTTTAGTTAGTCCAACGCAATTTTGGCCAAATGTTAGGAAAAAAAAGTTCATCGTTGAAACCACAGCACATTGCCCTCAAAGACATTTCAGGAAGACCAATAGGATTAGCATCGAAGATTTCCTCAATCCCTACCATGAGGTGTTGAAATATTAATATAAAAGCTAGGAAGTTTATTGTAAATAAGAAATAGAATAGAGGTGTCCATAACTCAGTGCGGTTGTTATGTTAGTTCCGACGAAATTCTAGAGGAAAGGGCGAGTGTCGTTTGAGTTAGTGTTATGGAAAGGTTGGTTGTAATGGTAAGAATGTTGCTTGGAGAATAAAAAATTGCTATGTGTTCCCCTCCAATTTATTTTCCCTCTCCCTCGACTCTCCTATCTATACTTATTTTTCTAAAACCGATGTCAATCTTTGTAAATTAATATCCTAGTAAACAGTCACTAGTCCTAAATAATTGATATAAATATAAAGTACATGATTACCCAAGTTAAATGTCATTCATGCTCGCACTATTCCTTAGGAATATTTGACCTTATAGAATACTCCAAGTTCTTGACAACATTCACCTAAAATGGATTCTCCCGGTTTAAAAGTATATTCTAGTTTGTTTAGTTAGATAAGAAACTATTCCAAAGTTATTTGCAATATAACTTGTTTAAAGAACCCCAAGATCATGTGTAAACAAAATCCTTTAGGACCATTCTTAGTACCCAAAACTACTACAAGAAACTTACACTTGCAAATAATCAACAAGTTCCTATTTAGTAACATGTACAATTAATCAACTTCATCTTGGTAAAAGATACATATTCAGTAACCTCCTAAGCTATGACGCGAATTCAAATTGCATCTTGTTTTCAAGATAAGTAAAAAAGAATATTTGAAACCCATCATGAACCTTCTTATTGGAAGTTGGAAAACATGTTGCAACATATGTAGGTTCCAGCATGAAAAAAGGATGAGAAGTAATAACTTTGGGTTTGGGGTAAATGAAGTAATTATATTTTACATTTCTATTTTCATTTCTGTTTCAGTGCAAAAGTGAATCTCTTATAATATATAGAGGAAGTGAATCTCATGTTGAAGGGTGAGAGGAAGTGGATAAATCGGGCAGAGGTATTAGGTATTGCATTGATTTGGCTAAACGAAGAAAAAACTCATTTTTATCTCTTGTGCCATCTTCTCCTCCACATCTAATCTTGTACCTTATTCTAACGCCCACTTGAAAATCAGAAGATGTTCATGTTGCAATTTAGAGCTAACTGACTTGCAACACAAACATAAGAATTCTTAACAAAGTAATGACCACAATTGAAGTTGAAGAATTATTAAAACAGCAGTTTCAGATTTTAATGCATCAGGTACAATTTACATGTGATCTCTAGTAAATATTAACTAATACAGTGTCAGTCATTTGGCTTTGTATTAACATACACCAAGGATGATTAGTTATTGCATACATACCCAGGTTGTCTGCGCATATTGAAACCCTCGGTGGTGAATCCAATAGAGACATAGCCTTTGGCACCAGCATTCTTGACATAAATCTCAAAGTAATAGACAAGACGCTTGACGGGAGCTGGACAATTGGCCTGAACAACACCCACATCGTGGCCATGTAAGTTCACGCTCGGATACTGAACGGATAGCTTATCCGGTAACACAATCGAGAACCCACCCGAACTGTTCAAAGTGTCAAGCTCCGTGGGAACCGACTCCTCCTCTTCTTCTAGTTCTTCGTCTTCATTATCTAAATTCCCCATTTCAACGTCTTTTGCAGATGAAGCCGCAGCCCTCTTGGACTTAAATCTCCATAACTTCAAGAAATACGAACCCACGAGGTCTAGTTCTTTTTCTCCTTGTTCAGAATCATCCACCATTTTTCCCAATCTTGGAACTAAGATTCAAGAACACATGTATGAACGCACAAAACCCTAAGCAGATAGAAATGTTGCGATCAAGTTTGAAACCCTAACAAGTAGTTCATGTGTTCACACTAGAAGAACAACAAATGGATCAAGAACGATGCTTGATCTGGCCAATCTCTATTTGGTTATACCAAATCTTCAAGTTTAGATTTCGTTACAACGTCGGCTTTCCTTTTGTTCTCCGTAGAGTGAACTACAAAATCTCTTCCTCCGAGTATGACAATGCTTCCATATTGAGTAGGTCAGGTCCGGTCCGGTCCGGTCCGGTTGTATTCAGATTTTATCCGGGTGTTCCCAGATGACGAATCTGGTATTCGGTAAAGATAAAAACCGGATACAAGAGATTGTTTGATGGATCCATTTATAAAATTTATTCGTGGAACGGAGGGAGATACATCTCGATATTAATGTTTTATTTTATTATTTGTTTTTGTCAATGTTTTAATAGGATTTTATATGTGTATAAGAAAGCAATAATGATTTTATTTTTGAATAAAATATAAATTTAAAGATATCATAAAATTCTGAAAAAAAAATATCAATGTTAATATCAAATCAACTATTTAAAAAGTTCTCAATTTTCTATGTAATTTCTTTAATTTATTTTTTTATTATAATTTAAT